GTATTGAGATGGGCGTCTTTCCCATAACGTGTGTATGAGGTGGTCTCTGACCCATTACTTGTGTACTGAGGTGGTCTCCGACCCATTACGTGTGTATTGAGTTGGTCTTCTGTCCATTACGTGTGTATTGAGGTGGTCTTCTGTCCCATTACGTGTGTATTGAGGTGGTCTTTTGTTCCATCACGTGTGTATTGAGGTGGTCTTCTGTTCCATTACGTGTGTATTGAGGTGGTCTTCTGTTCCATTACGTGTGTATTGAGGTGGTCTTCTGTCCAATTATGGGTGTATTGAGGTGGGCTTCTGTTCGATTACGTGTATTGAGGTAGTTTTCTATTCCATTACGTGTGTATTGAGGTGGTCTTCTGTTCCATTACGTGTGTATTGAGGTGGTCTTCTGTCCCATTACAGGTGTATTGAGGTGGTCTTCTCAGATATATTTCAATGGAATGGTCTACATTATCTTGTGCTTGTGGACTCATACTCGGGATGGTTTGAAATGGACACGCTACGTAATATGACATCTAGGACTGTGATAAGTAAAATCAAGAGACATTTCACAGTACATGGTATACCTCACACTATTATTTCAGATAACGCAGGACAATTTGCAAGTATAGAATTTAAACAGTTTTCAAAGGAATGGAATTTTAACCATATAACAAGTAACCCTGAATATCCGCAGTCAAATGGTCTTGCAGAAAGAGCAGTACAGAGCGCTAAGAAACTTCTAGAGAAAACAGAGCGAGAAGGATCCGATTTGTATCTCAATTTATTGAATCTTCGCAATGTGCCTAGTGATAATACATTAGGATCTCCAGCTCAACGATTAATGTCAAGAAGAACGCGCACTTCAGTACCGATCAGCAAACCACTACTAAATCCACACATTAAGAATTCAAGAAAAATTTCATCACAACTTAGCAAGAAGCGTGGACAAAAGAAGAAGCATTTTGACAAATCAGCTAAAGCACTAACACCACTTAAGCCAAACCAAACAGTACGGTTACAAACCCCAAATGGCTATAATCGCTTAGGATTAGTCAAACATATTTCCAACAATCCACGATCCTACATTGGTGAAGTAGGAAACACATAACTGAGAAGAAATCGTCGTCACATACTACCAGTCGCTGAACCTTCACCTAAACAAGAATTTCATGAGAGTGAATTACCTGATGAAATCCGCATACCAAATAAAAAACCCATTACTACATCAGCTGAGAACACAATCCATACAGAAGACAATGAACACGTTCAAAATGATATACCTACATCACCTGGCAGAGCAATTACACCAATTAGATCTCCAGTCAAGACACGTTACGGTCGTACTGTCAGACCAAATCCCAAGTACAGAGATTATGTTGTATAGGATATTACAATTTTTCACTTGTTTAGATCAAGCTGAAAAAGCTTAGGAGGCAGAATAAACCTCAGCTTTTTGGCTTGGAGGAAGAGCAGTCCACCTCTTCTCCATAAAAAAAATAAAAAAAATAAAATAAAAATAAAATAAAATAAAAATGTGTATATTTATGATAATCTATTCGTTAAACAAAAAAAACAAACAAAACAATATATAAATAACAAAATCGATTATCACAGGATTCTCATATTTATGTGCTTATTATTATGAAGTCAATGAACTTGAGCAATGAACTCTTTAACAAATATGAACTGAACTTGAAAAGATTTTAAATTCACAATTGTATGAATTTCGACATATCTTGAAAAGGAGGATGTAGAGTATGCATTATGCAAATGAGTTCACATCTCATTGACCTCTGTATTTGACCTTTATGTTGTA